CAACTTAGAATATTGTTAATTTCGAATAGTTTTCATTTCGGATATTTATGACTTTGTAGATTTTGTATTTTCGAATGAAAATAATTTGAGTGGAGTTTCTGGCACCCAGGTCATGTATTCTTATGGCGGTGACATACTTGCCATCTGGTGCTAAAAAATTTAACTTCTCAAACCAGGTTTTAGTAATAGGCCTTTTTACACGGTACCATTTACCAATATAGCATTATACATTAGGGTGTGCCAAAAAAATCAACTAATTTTTTTTTTCAAAAAGTTCTTGAAATTTCGTTAGAAGATACCAAAATAAAAATTTAGTCAAAATTTGAACCCTTAATATTAATATTTAGAGGTCACGAACTGAATTTTTCGATTTTTCATTTAATTAACATGGAAAAACATTTCTAGAAAGTTTGGATTTTTATTTCTCTTGATTGAACAAACTCCACCTTGATTAAAAATACTCATTGAAAAGTATTGAAAATTATTTCAATTCTTTTCAATGCATACGGAGATTTTGAAAAATATTAAATGGAATTGAAACTTCGATCATTTGAATACTTTCTAATTCTTATAATGGAATTTAAAAGTAATGAATAGGATTAAATTTTTTATCCTTTGAATTCTTTTCAATTCTGACGTGGAATTCAAAAGTATTGAACGGGATTCATTCTGGTATCTCTTGAATACTTTTCAATTCTCAAATACAATTCAAAAGTATTCAATATAATTGAAACTTTTATTATCTTAACCCGAGAAAAAATATTTACATAAATTGGTTATATATGATTATATATGATAAAATGGCCAAATATAATCATGTATAATTATAGATAAGTATATAAAATTATTAGGATGCTTCGTTTGAGACGACTATAGTTAGAAAAAAATATATTGTTTTTTTCTAACACCATTCACAAAATATTGTTGTCAACACATACAAAAAAAAATTAGAAAAACGGTTCACTCTAAAGGCCATCCCTGCAACTTCCAGTTAATTCCATTCCTGGGCGTTTAAAATTGTAATTATGACATTTTAAAGGTTTTTGAGCTCAAAATATAATTTATGTGATATTTTGAGCTCACTGAGTTCAAAGAAATAATATTTCATGCATTTGAGCTCTCCCAGCTCAAAAGTCTGATAGAAATTTCATAGAACACTATTTTTGGAATTTTCAAACCGCAATAACTTTTGAATGGATCAACCAATTTTCACGCGGTTGGCGGCATTCGACGCAGTTTTATTATCCTCATAAGTTATTTTCAGGTTTTCATTGATCGAACCAAAAATTTCGGAGTAATCCCGAAAAAACACTTTTTTCGGTTTTCTTTCGTTCACGATATCTCTCGAACGAGTTATTTGGTGAGACTTTCGTCTGCCTCCTTTCGAACAGGCCGTTTCCTGGGCTTAAAAAAGCTATACACGCACTTAAAATAAAACCCAAATCTCATCAAAACAAAAGCACTGTCAACTCGCCGGGCAAGGAAAAACCCTGCCCTCCAGCTTTTACGCTATCACTGGACAGAATGTAATTGGAGTTGAATTTAATTTAATGTCAATCTGTCCTCGTAATTATTCACTGTATCAAACCCCCTATACAAATCTATTCAACGACTACGTTGGCCTGGCCGGTAATATAATAACAACCCGACCAGTTGCCCAGCGGGGCCCATGCGGGGAGGTGTAGCCGTAAGGCCTGTTGAGCTATAATATTTAGTTATCCCTGTATGTGTCTCGTTCGTTTGTTACTTGTCTTCTGTAATCCCCATAATCTTTGAGCCTACCTGCGTTGCCAAATGTTTTGACAACGTCACGAGGCCTTACTCATGATATCTCTCGAACGAATCAACCGATTTTGACCGGATTAGCGACGATTAGCGTGGTTTTTCAAGCTTAAGGGCGGATTAGTTTTTTAAGTTAATCGATAGAGCCGTTTAAAAGATATTCCAAAAAAACCACTTTCAAAAATGATTTTTTTCTTATTTTTTTTGAGATTTTTCAAGATTTCTTAAAATCTATCGGTCCGAATCGTTTCAAATTCTCAGGAAATCTAAGTTCGAGGGAACTCTTTAGAACGCCGTTTAGTTCGTTCCGATCGGTTCAGTCGTTTAAAAGTTATAAGCGAGTCACATAGTCACACACACACACAAACACACACACACACACACACACACACACTGTGGAACATCATGTATGATGGTCTCCTGAAAGTTGCATTACCATCAGAGGTGAAACTTGTTGCATATGCCGATGATGTAGCTGTAGTGATTGTAGCGAAACACTTGGAAGAGATCAATCTGGCTTTCGATATCACATTTAGCCGGATTAACCTATGGATGAAGATGATGAATTTGGAGCTAGCGAAGCACAAAACTGAAGCTGTGCTCATCACCAGTAGAAAGATCTTAAAAAACATCAAGCTGAATGTCGGTGAACAGGAAATCGCATCGCAACCATTTATCCGATATCTGGGGGTGATGCTGGATGCCCGACTGAACTTTAAGCAACAGGTCGAACACGTAAGTGCTAAAGCGTCGGTGGTGGTAACTAGTCTATCAAGACTGATGCCGAATATTGGAGGCCCGAAGCAGAGCAGGAGACTATTGCTGTCGTCAGTAGCC